ATTTCATTGCTTTCAAATACACTGGTTCTGGAAATAAAGTTAGGTATCATAATGTGAGGGAAAAAACTTATTTAATATAATCAAAATGGAAAAACAACAAAGAATTGAATACCCTTATTACACATGTGAAAAGCTTTTTCTAAACAACTGAATTAATTATCCCTACAAGCAAAAAACAGATAAGTAGTTTCTGTATCTTCAAAGAAGACAACTTTGCAGTAAGTAATATTCTTGAAAGAAAATTGATAATAATTCTTTTTCAAAGAGTGTAATATAATTTTGGATAATATTCCTTTTTCTGAGTCATTTACATAAAACATTAATTTAAAGCAAATTAATGAAAGAATCTCTCAAATTATGATTCACTGTTCTTATCTGGGAAGAATTTAAATGAAAATGCTATGAAAAATCTCACGGATATGCTGCAGAGGAGCAAAACAGTTACGGAATGTTATAGTGAGGGAAGAATAATGAGTAGGAGCTGAGTACGAGTGTAAAATGATGCCTGCACTCAAGTTTGCTTTGTATACTGTCCTTACAACTGTACTGTCACAGAAATAAAAAATGCAAAATTTAATGGACAGCAACCTGCTGAGCTTTGTCCAAACATCCATCATGCATATCAAAAGGAACTTTCCTGTTTAGAAGATTTAAGAGTCAAGATAGAAAAACAGTATAAAAGGAAATCTATTATGTATTATGTAGCTCAGCTGGTAGGTCTGAGGACAAGCTATTCATTTTATCTAGGAATGAAAATCTCTTACTGAAGATGATTAAGGTTTTTAACTGCAGACATTTGGTGCCTTATAGGTGATTTTTCCAAATTGATCAGGTTGTGTTTAAAGATATTTTTAGATTTGGAAGAATTCTTCTAAATCCTTGTAAACTGTTTGACTGAAGTTCTGTCTTCCTGTAAAGAACAGTAGAAGAAATGGCTTATTCACTGCCATTTCAGCCCTGCCAGTATGCTCACAGATGTATAAATGGTAAAGGACATTTGACCTTATTTATTTATTGGCAGCAGTTTGAAGCAAAACTGTAAGCCCCCTTGGGACACTTGATAAGGCTTTTCCATCATGTGCAGGACGTTCTGAAAGTAGCAAAATGTTTTCTTGCTAGCTGGAAAAGCTGTGATTTGCTGCTCTCCATTTTTTGTGTCCTAGTTCTTCTGCCTAAACTATGTGAAGTCTGCTCCCTTTGATAATATTGCCTTGCTTCTTAAATACAGTTTAGAATATGACTTACAGTGTTTCTTTTTTGTGTCTTATTACCAGTGTTTATATCTTTTTCTGGAATATATATGAGCTTTTAAATTATTTACGATAGGCAACATTACTGGGAAGAATATGAATCAAAATGGCACACTTTGACAAATAAAATTATTGTTTTTATCTACTGTTTATCCAGTGAGGAGACTGACAAGTTAAATGATTTTCATAAGGAAAACTATCAGAATAGATAGTATATATTATCAACTAGATTGCAGTTTTGCATACGCGCACATATATGATTAACTTTATCATAATAAAATGAGGCATTTTCCTAAGCATATTTAGTGCTCTTAAAAATCAGGTCTTTTTTTTTGAGCTGGGCTGTAATGATAACTCAAACAGAAACATGAACTAGAAGAGGACAACCTGCAATAATCCTTGCAATTTGCACTTGTATTTTCCTGTCTTATTTTCACTCATGTCTTTGGGCTAAGTTTGTGAAAATGGCCATTCTTCAGCAGCTCTGTCATCTTCTGTCTGATAAACAGGCGAATCAGTGGTGAAGCACTCTTACATATAGCAGTTCTTTGGGTTTACAGAATTGTATCTTTGAACTTCTCTATAAAGAAATGTTCAGATAAACCCTTTTTACCCTCTTCCCCCTTTTTTTTTCCTCCACTTAGGTTCAGTGATAATTGGATTTGGAACCCAGGAGGTTTGTTTGTAGAATATAATAGGATAAATAACTATCAATCAGCATAGGAGACTGCAGTTGAATTAGACTGCAGATCAGGATATAGCTGATTTCATAATTAACAGAAAAAGAAGTTCAAGGAGATTTCTTCTCTTTGCCTCAAAGCAAACTGTTATTCTAGTCACAGGTGATAGACAAAGAATGCCAAAGCAACCCTCATTCAGGATCTCTGTTCATCTGACAAAGGCTGATGTACGTAGGGTTAGGATTTCCTCTACTGTGCCATTTTTAGGGGCATAAAACTTGAGAGAAGCTCCTCCAGCTAAGACAGCTTTTGCAATCAAATCTTGCAGTTTGATGGCATGGCATTTAGGTCTATTGATCAGTGATAAAATAGCAAGGAGAGATGATTTAAGATTCTTTGTTGTCAAAGCTGTAGGGGGCCTTCTTTGTTTCCTTCTGATTGAAATATTTAAGGTTAAAATATCCATGCTGTCATGGAGAAAATGCTTGTAAATGTATTGCTTATTTTAAAATGTTTATGCTCTTAGGTTGTTCAAAGAAAAATAATTATAGAAACTTCTAACTTGCTAAAAGCCTGGAATGTTAATAATGAGGCTGAACAAAAGGTCTTCTTCCTGAAGCACCTCACTTTAGTCTCCATTAGGCCTCAATAATTACTTACTTTTGCAAACATTATTATTCTGAAGCATTAAAGTGATTTTTTGACAAGCTGTAGGAACAGTTTCAGATGTTGGTACTGCCATCCTCAGCAGTGCCCTCTCCAACTGCAGAATTGATTCCTGCTGTATAAGCAAAAATCAAGATCAATTGCTTAAAACTTACTGGTGATAAAATCAACTCTTGTGGCAGTGGGAACTCTACACCACAGAGTTTGCTTTTGCTTTCATAGCTTCTGAGAAAGAAGTCAGCCCTTTTTGTTATTTGTTTTTTAATGATTGCTTGTGAATTTTCTTAGGAAAAGATGCTTTCCTCCACATCATGGATTTTAGCTTTCTTTTTAACCAGTTAGTTTTGTTTTCTTTTTCCCCTCACAGGGGACAGTATCTAGGTGAAGTCATAGCAGTCTCCCTTGATAGGGATTAGGTCTGAAAAGGGAAAATGCACAGCAAGGGATAATCTTGTCCCTTTCTGTAGTTTATCATTAAGGAAGTGGTTAAAAATCCAAATGTAGAGAAAGTGTTGTAAGCTATTGAAAGTACAGAAGAAGAACCAAAAATGATTTTAAAAATCTTTGTGTAGAAAACACATAACTAAAAGGGTTTCTCTGACTTCTACACATGATCAGCAGGGAATAATGAGTTCAGAGCAGTATGACAGTAGAAAATTTAGGATATTTCAGCTCCATAAAGCTGTTATTGTACACATAAGCTTAGAACAGAGCTGATGAGAAGTAATCATTGCATACACTTCTTGAAAGTCTGTGACTAGTGCTTTCAGATGCTTACCACAGGAGGGAAGAGAGGGGAAAAAAAACTTCTGTCCCTAGGCAAGGTAGCCTCGTAGTTAGGAGACTTGCTGAAGAGTGGATGTATTACTTTTCTTTAGGAATAGTGTGCACATAAGTCAGGTGGATATTTTGGTAAGTTGCCATGAATTCTGAGATGTTTTCTAGGTGTACCAATTGCTTACCTTAAGTGTCAGCTGTTGTACAAGTGAGATGTACATCTGGAGCAGTTACCCTTCATCACAGAGCATAGCTGAGCACATATTGTTATACAGGTTGTGAATTTTTTCAGTATTAACCAGTTAAATATTTAGCATGCTATAGTCTCTCTATATAAAGCTATATATTTCTTCTTCCAGGCAGAAATATCATTGAGAATTTCTCAGGTGAGAAATCAGGGTGTTGTTGAAAGACCATGGATATGCTAGTTCTCTTCAACTTGCTTATCTCATGCCTTACAGAAGGAGTCATCATGCAAATAGTAATTAAGTTTTCTATTTTAAGATGCTTCATAGATTTCAAAGTTATTCCACTAGTTTATTGTTCATGTAACAAAATTCATGCAATCTTGAATTGTGCAATCTTGCAGATGTTTATTCATAACAGAAAATAATTTTTTTCTGTGCTTAATGTGTGTGGGTGTTCTACAAGAAACAAATTCACAATACGATAACTCAGCATTTTACTTCTGAACACATAATGTTCCCTTCTGCGCTTCTTTTGGATCATATGGCTGCTGAAATAATAATGACCATGTCTACATATCATGCAACAGAAGCAGAACTGTAAAGAACTGCAGATGATGGAAAACAAGAATTCCCATCTTGCACTTCAGCCTGTGTCCCATTTTCTTTTTGACCCTGCCTGAATAATTAATGTGGGATTGGTATCCAAGAAGGTATCTAAAGAAAAAAATAAACATAACACAATTACAGAAATATCATTATACGAATGAAGTATTTTTTCTATACAGAACATGGAATAATTGGCTGTGTTGTAGTAACCTACATTAATGAGTCAGAAAAATCATTTTGTGAATATTACCTCGTTCTGTTTTCTGTGTGGGAATTTTTCATTTTATAAAATCAAACAATACGAGATTTCTCAGATTGGAAAATAGTTGATGCTTCATTCTACAGTTCCAAAGTAATACACAAATTAAGCCATTAAGTATGGGACTGAACACTACTTTGTCGTCTTTATCTGTCTTGACGTAGTATGGGTGGCTTGAGGGATCAGCAGACTTGTATACTCATCCAAAGAACACTGCTGAGCAGTAGAGCAGTCCACAACACACAAAGACACCTCCTGATAGAGAGCATATAAATAGCTGTTATGAGAGCTAAGCTATAAAAAGGCTGAGTGAAATATGGTGTCACTAAAATGCATAGCAAATCTCTGTATGATTTCCATGCTGCCAGGATTTCATTTTAATTCAACAGAAGTTTCTGGAATGAGAGGAAAGGTCAGATACACAAATCTGAATAAATCATGAGTACATTTTAATCAAAACTTTCTTTTATTGACCTGATGTTTCTTAAAATTTAATGTGGGCATAACTGTTGTTCTTGTACTTAGAAAATCTTGTTTGAAATAAGACTCATGAAGTGTTGATGCCTTTCTGTAGGTAAACAGAAGTACTGAGTCTGCAGGAAATAAGCTGAAAATTTGCAAGAAATCTTTGAAATACTTCTGTGTGCCTAAAATCAGAGACAAAATTGCTACATAAGAGAAGCAGTCCTGACCTGTCTTCCAATGCGGATAACCGGCAATAAGCTGAGACATGTATAGCGTCCTACTACGCTGTAAGAGATTGAATTCTCAAGGAACAGGTAGGTGTCAGATAACTTACATTTCATATTTACTTCTTCATAAATGATTGAATGTGGTAATTTCTGCTTTAATAGAATACACTAAGACATTTCTGATCTTATTCAGAAGGTTACAGTTAGCATAATATCGTTGTTCCCTTTTCAAGCAGAGGGGGGAAAAAAGGAAAGTAAAAAGTTTATCTCTTGATTTAAAACAGGTAAATCATAGTTAAGGAATATCCTGCAGTATTTTTTGAAATGTTATCTTCTCATTTTTATCTACAAATAATTACAAATGCCATCTCAAAAATCAATCAGATGGGAGTTGAATAAAATACCACCAGTGTTAGGAGGCACTGCAAAACTCCCTGGTCTTACCAGAGAGTTATGGGACCATTAAATCTTTGCATCTTAAACGAACTAACTCAGGTGTATCTGAACACAAAGATTATGTTGGTTCCATTAGGATTTGACATTTCATTTTGTAGTTTTGTTCTAACAAACTTTAAACTACAGTACAAGCGCTCCAAAGCACACAAGTCTTTTGTTGGTGTGGTTCCTGCCGTTTGTTTGAAATGAATACTTCTGATCATAAACTCAAACCTCCCATTAGGTATACAGTTATAAGCAAGTCTAAAATGATTCTTGCAAATGATTGCAAGAGCATGTGAGTGACTGACTAGCCCAAAGTCAAAGTCAAATTGTTCCCAAGATGGGATCCAAGAAAGCTGAAGGAATTGAAATGTTCAGAGTGAGATCTACAAATCCCCATTTCATTTTCATATTATGAAGATTTTGTTTGACCCTTACTGAAGTATTTCCTGAGAGTACTTCATTCTGCGGAAAGCTGGAACTCATCTGATCTGACATACAGAGAGCATGCTGAATAGAAGCAATCTTCATGTTCAAATTTTAACCTTGTATCTCACTGTCCCACCTATATTAGTTTCCCTTTATGCTACCAGTTTCTCTTCAATCTGTTCACAGTTTGAGATTTGTACAATCATAGAATCTCCAAGGTTGGAAAAGACCTCCAACATCATCCAGTCCAACCATCCACCTATCACCAATATTTTCCACTAATCTTTGTCCCTCAGGGCAACATCTAAGCGTTTCTTCAACACCTCCAGGGACAGTGACTCCACCACCTCCCAGGGCAGCCTGTTCCAACACCTGATCACTCTCCTCAGAGAAGAATTATTTCCTAATGTCCAACCTGAATCTCCCCTGGTCATCTAGGTCATCAGTAAAGGTATTGAACAGGACAGGCCCCATTACTGACCCCTGAGGAGCACCAATTGTGATCAGCCACCAGCTGAATGTGATTCCATTTGCCACCACTCTCTGGACCTGAATATCCAGCAAGTTCTTTACTACCCAGCAAAGAGTGTAAACGTAGGGAGAAAATATTTGTACAAACTTGAGCATACAGCTCTAAAAGTATTAAATTGTTAAAAATTATGCCAGTATTATTCTCAGCAGGTGACTTTTCTAAACTTGCTTGTATCTTCCTTGAAATTTGCTTACCACAACCCCTCAGAGTTGATCTGGAATATTCCTGTAGGAGCTGTTCGAAGTGAAAGAAGAGGGATTTCTTAGCACTTTCTTAATTATTTTCTGATAATTGCCACAATTTAAAAAAATTATGGCTTTTTAAAAGCACAGCTTCCAATAAAACAGTAGTGATTATGAGAACAGAGAAAAAAAAACAAATACTGACCAGATTAAATAAAAAGAAAACATACACAAGTCATTTATTTCTGAATTCCCATCAGGCAGCACAGGAGGTACTGAATAGCACCCTTTCTCTGCTTTATTCTACTTCATTCCGTTTATTTATTTATTTATTTGAACTTTTCATAAGACATAGTTGATGACTGGGAAATCTTGTTCCACATTCTGGTTTCCCAATAACACTCACATTTGGCTCTCAGGACGTTAATTTTTATGGAATAGACTGCTGCTGCTCTTTTCTACTCAGAAAAACATAAAACATGCCAGAGTTTTAAAGCATCTAGGCAGTTGGAACAGAATAATACCAGGCTTTGTTTGCTGAAATTTTCTTAGATGCAAATGCTAGGATACAGATAAAATCACTTCCAACTTCACATTCTGCCTGATCTAATCTTCACATATATTGGATCACTATTGCCATGGCATCTGAAAAGCAACCAGAAATTTAAAAAAAAAAAAAAAACAATCTCCATCATCTGTCCTTCTTCCAACCTTCCCAGCAATTATATTCCTTAATTAAATTTCTGAAGAATTTTTGGGAGGAGTGACAAGAGCCATACTAAGGAATAGGCAACTTACAGAAGAAATCTTGCACATGGTTCTGATCTTAAATGTTGTTCTCACATGCGAACTGCCCTTACAGAGTTGAATTTTTCCAAGAGGTTTGTCCCTTAGATCTTCTGTTCTCAAGAAACAGCATTTTATTGCTACCGCTGTATTCTGTTTTAGTTAGATGAGGGGTGTAAAGAAGTGTAGCATTTCCCTCCTTTGTTTTTGCTACATAAATATTTAATAGAGCTTCCTATGCAACTCTCTTTGAATTCCTAAATTGTGCTGTTCCTTCTTTATTAACACCTATGCTAATTTATGGCTTCAAACTACAAGAGTTGTCATGAAAGACTGGGAACAGTAAGGGCTCTTGACAGAAAATGGTAAAATCTTTGTTCTTCATATAAGCTTATATATAAACATTGCTGCAAAAATCTTTTTCGGGCTCCATTACTTGCTAGTATTTTACATGTCACTTCAACATGGGCTGGAAGTATAGGGGTTGACTTTTATAATCTCATTTCCTCTGTTTTGCTTTGATCACAACATAATTTCACTAGAGGAGGGTCTCTGCAGGAGCCAAGTTTTAACAAGGAGACATCCAATGTAGAGTTCTTAGACATTAGTATTTCATTTGAAGTAAAATGCTTTGGACACAGGAACTTCAGGACTTCCATACTGCTACACAAGTGGGAATCACTTAGTTTTGCTGAAGTTGGCCTGTTCTGATAGTATTAGTAACTAGTTGAACAAGCCATTGTTTGGGGCATTTTACTCCTCTAAATATAAAGAGCTGGCAATTCTGTCCACATATTTGAGCTTCAATGCTTGTACTACACTTTTACTCTCAAAATACCTTGGTTTTGGCTACACCTGCTATGGCAAGCAATGCAGCTCAGTTTTCTTATTTCGTAAATAAGAAAACTAATGCAGCAAAACATTGAACAGTGGACTGTTTGCTGGACAAGGAACTGATTGCTAGATCATGAACAGTGTCGTATGGACAGTTCAACTCAATATGCAGACGTATTATTCACAAAATTTGGTCCAATTCCGCTGCTCAAGCAGGACCACCTAATACAGGTTGCCGTGTGTCATGTGTAGACAACTAAATTCTTGTAGTATCTTCCAGCACCTCAAAAACTAGCAAACCTTCCAGCTATGTCTTGCTGTCTGACAGAATTGTTATGATAGAGTTTTTGAGTTGGTTACTTTGCTAATAGAAAATAACATCAGCATAAGACAGGGTTTTGAAAACGTTTATTTAATCAGTCCTGGTTATATTTCCCTGTGTACTACCTGTGTACTAATAGGAAGGTTTTCATTTCATGTTCCTCTATACTTGTGGCAGTGTTATAAGACTATAATTTGTTAAGGCTAAGCTCTGTTTTATTTCTTTCTGTTCACAATCAAATGATTTTCTGTATTAATTAAGGTCTTCTGCAAAAATCATAAACATCAGCTGTTTCTATTTTTACTGAGCAGAAGTCTATCAAAATTCTTGCTTTCTAGTCAGACAGACAGGCAACAATATTTAGACACATTAAACTGCAAAACTGATTAACAAATGCTGCAATCTACCTACAATCTTTAAAGATTTTACTGTGTGATTTCGTGATCAAATGTATTTGTGAAGACCTTTAATGCTAACTAGTCACACACATGCAGAGAAAATCAATTTCCATGTACAACCATTGGTGCATTTCTGGGGAGTATGTTGTGTCTGAAACTTTAAGAAATGTGATGCCGTAAGAATTTCAGATTTTAAAATTTCTGTTTTTTAAGCTAAGTGGGGGATTTTGATGCCCAATTCTCACTGAAATATATTTGCTTCTTTCGAAAAAGCTCATCCTCAGTAACTATTGATTTCAATAGCTGAAATGAAAAATCAGAGCAACCAACTACTCATTAATTTTCATGGAAGTTATGTCTACTAATTTCTTTATGGAAGTAGAGCAGTATTTCTTTGACAATTTACTGGTATTCAACTTGCTGTTGCTAGAAATATTCTTATCCATTTGGAGTGTAGGATGGCATCTTAAGATAGACATTGCTAATATTAAATATAATAATATGGTTGGAGTAACATTGTATCCATAGTTATATCCATGGAATATTATATTTATGGCTATATATCAGTAGTTCATGGCATCCATGGCATAGTATATCTATGCTTATATCACAACAGTCTGTGATTTTGTTGTCTGTGGCAACACTCTTGATCATCTCTTCCATGTGTTTAAAGATGGAATCTCAAGTTAAATAGCACATTATTTTTAGTAAATTTATTCAGAAATTTTACAAGTAACAGAGTAAAAATGAATTTTAGAAACAGTTGGGTTGTGTTACTGGAATAAGGGTCTGCATAATGATGTGTCAGCTCAGGGAAGACCCATATGTATTTCCTTTGTTGGGCAGACCTCAGTTTGGGTCTTGAATTTTTTACTGTGACTAGATTCCATACAAAATATAGTTCACTTCTGATGCAACTCCTTAAATTATTTTTAAATCCTTAAAAACAGATTTTCAGTTTTTTAGGGAGGTTATGCATTGCTAATACAGATTTCAATGCATATTGAAGATATCTCTTCTTATTCTTTGATGTCTAATAGCATGCAGGTTTTATTAAATGTAAAATACTGAAAGAAACACAGAATCTGTATTGTATGGCATGTCCTGCTGTGGCCTTACATTGCCAAAGAAATGTAGCAAAAATGTGCTGGTAATATCCTTTGTCT